AGACAGTGTCTACTCCTTCTTCATACCTAAACACACCTGGCAGTGCATTAGCGTTGTTGAGAATATTTTTCAACTTCTCCTTTGTGTCACAGTAAATAGCTCTAGGTCGAGAACTCACTGACTCTGTACGCACAAAGTCTGAAGCTCTAGTTCATGTCTGTCACAGTAAGCTCTAGTTATTCTGTTCACAGTAAGCTCTAGTTCATACGGTCTAGTCGTCATCAGTAGCTCTAGTTCGTATCTGTCACAATAAGCTCTAGTTCATATCTGTCACAGTAAGCTCTAGTTCATATCTGTCACAGTAAGCTCTAGTTCATATCTGTCACAGTAAGCTCTAGTTCATGTCTGTCACAGTAAGCTCTAGTTCATATCTGTCACAGTAAGCTCTAGTTCATATCTGTCACAGTTAGTTCTAGTTAATATCTGTCACAGTAAACTCTAGTTCATATCTGTCACAGTAAGCTCTAGTTCATGTCTGTCACAGTAAGCTCTAGTTCATGTCTATCACAGTAAGCTCTAGTTCATATCTGTAACAGTAAGCTCTAGTTCATATCTGTCACAGAAAGTCTTCTTCAACAGAAAGTTCTGGTTGTTCATCCAGCTCTGGACTTTACTCTTGTCCCAGAACCTGAGTGTTGTGTGCACATTTGTTTTACAGATCTGGCTTATAATAAGCAGACTGTTGGTTCCTTGCCTCTCAGGCATATGCATTCTAATTTTGAAGGAAGCCTCCAGTTAGTCGACTCTTACGTTATACTTGTTGGGCAGGCAGTGGGTCTATTCTTATTTTCCCCACAATGGGGCCCCAGAACCCACACAGGCATGATAGGAAGTCAGTAAGTTACAAACTTTCATGTTGTGACTCCATCTGAAGACTTAAGTTGCAGACTGCTTAATGTCCTTTGAATATTCACAGAACAAAAGTAGTAATCATGTCTATTAAAGTCAAAAAAAAACCACATATCGATAAAATTTAGAACTTTGTTTTATATTTTGTGAAATGAATGAAGATGAATGGCCGTAGACCACAAGGCAGACCAAGAAGACGATGGAGAGATAATATCCAGACTGACCTGCAAACACTTGGTGTTACCAACTGGAAAGAGAAGGCCAACCAGAGAGATGAATGGAGGAGGGTGATATCTGCAGCAATGAACCTTAAGGGCTCAGAAAGCTGAAGAAGATAAGGAGGATGAAACTTGTTTAAGGTGATACAATCTCTGTTTCTTATGGAGGAGATAACTGTATCTGAAGTCAAGTAATAATAGCAGGAGCAGTAGGATTTTCTAATTGCTTAACCTACCCTATAATAAATTTTGAACTTCTGAAAAATGGTCTCACAGTGGTTGCCCAGATTATTAACTTGGAAACATAGCATAGACAGAAAGAAAAAGTCTTGCTGTTGTTACAAGGGATAAATCGTGGATGCATAGCTACAATCTTAAACTAAAGGATTTCTAATGCACAGGTTTTCAAACCATGGGGCACAACCCCAAATAGCAGGGCTGTTCAGCTAAATTAACTCATGGAACAATTTTGAAAATGGGGAATCTTCACAGGCCCCACATTAGAAAGTTAATTAATACAGTACAACTGGCAATGATCTGTGGGCTACTTTCTAGGCCTCCGCGGGCCAGATTTTCCCCTTGGGAATATTAATAGTCTGAATAGTTAATAGTCCTGCCTTATAGGGTTATGAGGGCTTTTTTTTGTGGAATCATTGGCTACTAGAGAGGTGCTAACATTTTAGAAACGGAAACAAAATGGTGTCCTGCACAGAGCAAAATCATATTTACTAAGTGTTTTCATTTACTATATTAAAAAGCCTGTTTATTTTGTATGGGAGTCGTTGATCACTTTGCCTGTCTAAACTTGACTAGGATAAATGTTGGAAACCATTTGATACATCCTTATTTACTTCCAGCCAACTAATTCAGTCTTAACAGAGGCTGTAAGTATATTAATGAAAATGGCCAGCAAAAACTAACAATTAAGTACTGGGTATTTCAGTCACATGTGAGTGGAACAAGGTTGGTCCTAACCTGAACAGAATAAACATTCATATACTCAGGGAAAGAAAATGGTTAGTTTCTGTCTCACACACACGGTTTCCCAAGAACTCCTCAGATACAGTTTTGTTAGGGATCAGCTTCTCACTGTTTAGCTAACTGACTACAAGTTTATTCATGTTCGAGGGAAACTTGTTACCACAGGACCGAGACCAGATATATGATTACAGAAACCACTAGCAAGTAACCTCTGAAATTAGTTCACTGAAAAAGGTCACTGTTGCCTTAAACTAGAAAAGATATAAATATATATCATAATCATTTTACAGCTTCTTAATATTCTGTTGATTAAATTACTATGTTTTTCTTCACATTTTACAGCTTCTTAATATTCTGTTGATTAAATTACTATGTTTTTCTTCACATTTTACAGCTTCTTAATATTCTGTTGATTAAAATACTATGTTTTTCTTCACATTTTACAACTTATTAATACTCTGTTGATTAAATGACTAATTTTCTTCACATTTTACGGCTTCTTAATATTCTGTTGATTAAATTACTATGTTTTTCTTCACATTTTACAACTTCTTAATACTCTGTTGATTAAATTACTCTGTTTTTCTTCACATTTAGGGAGAGGAGTCTTGCATTACCACAGCAAGAATCCAAAAACAGACGGAGGTCAAGTCTGAAAATGCAGAGTCAGTAGCCTTACATTACAAGACGTTTGTTATGGAAATGGCTTCTACGCTAATTAGTTTCTGTTTGTTTATTGTTGTCTCATATTGTCAAACATTTCATGCAACTAATTAATGTGTTTAAGTTGAGAGTTGTTTAATAATAATTTTCAGTAGGATTTTATGTCTGACAAGACTGAGCTTGTGTTATTGACTGTTATTTTTTTCCCAAGGGAAAATGGAGTAACCAAAGTGTAGCAGCTAGACAGCGCTGGCCTATTTTTTAAAATGGCTTTGTATTCCAGGTTGACCCAGCCTCAAAGAGGTATCATGTAAAGTCCTGGGAAGTAAAGGCAGCCAGCGTTATGTTGATGACATCATCCACAGAGGGCTGATTGGTTATAAAATAAAGGTCTAGCCCTATATGCCCAGTAAACCTGAAGGTGTGGAAGAGGGTCCTGGGAAATTGCCTTCTGAAACACTGACATCTGATGACTCAAAGAGCCAGCTTTGGATTCAAACAAACAGGAGCAGATCTCTGAAATTTCATTGAACAGTATACGAAGGATCCTTTTTTTCACACCTTTAGGTTTATTGGGCATATAGTTCTAGGTTTGAGGTTTGAGGTTTTGAACAGCGGATCAACATCATGGCACATAGGTAGTAACCCATAAGTGCTCAGTTCTTCTTCTAACTCAAGTCTGAGTCCAAAGAAGCTCAGCACAGTGCACAGACTCTGTAGCACTGGGGAGGATCCTGATCCTGTATTTGATAGACCTATCGACATTCAGTCGATAATGTTGTCAGCATCAGGCTGGCCATCTTTACTTTCCATGACTTTACCTGGTACCTATTTAAGGTTGGGTCAACCTGGGAGCCAAGATTTTTTGTGAAAAATAAAAAGTCTGGCTCCATTCAGAATTGAACTCACGACCTTTGGATCCGCTGGCGAGCATCTAGCTGCTACACCACAGATTGAACATCAGGACATGGTTATATTAGGAGTGGGTTTCAAATGAGAACTTCAAAAGTGTGATGCACACTACAGTAACCTGTCAGTTCAGAGATTGGTAGTTTTCTTGTTTGAGGCTTTAACCAGTGGCAGTCTTTCCCTTGTGGGTTCTGAGGTTCTGTTACAGGGAAAATAAGAATAGACCCACTGCCTACCCAAAAGCATGTCGTAAGAGTCAACTAATTGGGAGCTTCCTTCAAAGTCGGAGTGCATCTGCCTGAGAGGCAAGGAACCAGTAGTGTGCATACAAATAACAGATCTATAAAACAGATGCACAAACAACACTCAGGTTCTGGAAAAATACTGCTGCCCAGAAGTGGATGAACAACCAGAACTTTCCGCCAGAGTTTACAGCAGGTGAACGTGAATAAGAAGAAGTTGCAGTCCACTGTGGGGTCACTAGGTGGTGGGTCTGACCCAGTTGTGAATCACCTGTTGAAGAAGTCATGCCATTTTAAAACTTCCAGCTCCATTGATACTCTTGCTAGACCTACAGAAATAAATCACCATACTGCACTTTCATCGCCAGTGAATTATCTATAGGTTTCATCCCTTCACTGATTAGAGAATGGGTAACAGAACACTGCTTCTCTTTGGTGCATGTCAGAAGGGGGCAGCCTTCTTTAAACTGTCATTATCATACCACCATGTTCATCTGCACCGTGATGTAACATGCTTAATACCCCTGACACCTTTAACTAACAATATATATATGTTGCAAGACAAAGACAGGGTTATTGTAATTTCTCACACTTATAAGGTTTTCATTTGAAACTCCCTCATGTTTTCATTACTGTGTGGTACCCTAATTTAACTGACTGACTGACTTTCCACCCCACCAGGACATCACACAAGCGATAAACACCCGATGACACAAAGTGCCACCATGTGGATGAGGATCACCGTGGAGAGGTCCCAGAAACCGCGTTCAGACAATTGGCCATATTTATGGCCTGCCTATATTGCGGCCCCTGGCAAAAGCCAGAGTGGGGCTTCAAATAACAAAAAATTACGTCCTAAGAAGGACGTAATGATTTTTTTATATCGCTATGACCCTAATTTAACTGTAGGTCTGGTAAATTTGATTGTGAAAATTAACTTGTGAACGTAGGGGAATACTTGATCATAAATGGCAGTAGATATGTTGAGATAAAAGAACATAGTAAGCTTTTATTTAATTTTTTTTTATAAACAGGTGTGTTATTTACGGAGATATCAGTGATGTTGCACTGTCATCTAGTAAATAGCATCTATTCTTTGTGCAACACTTTACTTTTACTTGGTTTATTTTCTCATTAGTGGTGTCCCCTTGTTGAATCTGACCTACTTGAAAGATGATGACAAAAAGATCAAACCTGCATTTTATGACCTCAGAGATTACTCACTGGATACTCCATATTCTGCCAGCACAATCAGGTTTGTGTTTCTCTGTTTCACATTTGATTTCTTATTGTACTTTCAAAATTTATCAGCATCTCTTGGGACAAAAGTAGTAGTCATGTTTAATTCCACATAGATCTTTGTTATTATATTTCTATTAAGTTTATTATTATTATTTCTTTGGGTATGTGTTAAACTTGCAGCCTAATTAACCTATTAGTGCTGCAGGACACAGAGTCTCCACCTACACTGTTACACAGGGCCCACCTATCTCTCAGCCGACCTGATCTGACCATCTGCTCATCTGACTTAGCAGATGCAAGTTACCCCCAAGTCCTGCATGACATAGGAAAGGGCCACAAACCAATACTTACAACTGTAAGCACCCCCGCTAAATCATGCTTTAAGCAGAGAACCAATTTTAATTTTGGAAAAGCAAACTGGAAACTGTTTCATGAAATATCTGACTACCTCCTGGGAAGAATTGACAACAGCTGTGTGGAAATGTTTTGTGAAGATCTAACAGAAGCAATCATGAAAGCAGCGTTGAAAGCCATCCCAAGGGGCAGCCGGAAGACATATAAACCTTTCTGCAATAAGGAAATTCAAAATACTATGTCTGAAAGGAATAAAGAAAGAATTTTACTCGAAACTGCACGTTCACCAGAAGCAAAGATCCAATGCAATAAAGCATGTGCCAGAGTAAAGCTTGTAGTTAATAAGGCTAAAAGAGATAAATGGACAGAAACTTGCTCCAACTTAGACATTAGACAGAATGGAAATAAAGCATGTACTTTAGTTAAAAACCTCTCAGAAGAAAGTAGAAGGGTGAACCCAAAACCAGTGACAGATGGAAGTAAGACAAGCACTGAAGACAAGAAGAAAGCTGAACATTTCAATCATTATTTTGCCTCTGTTAACAGAGCAAGCAAACGCACAGAATGGGACAGAATACAGCTATCTCAGTTGAAGAAACAAGAAAGAGCTCCAACAGCAGAGACTCCCTTTTTGAAGATGAGTTTAGCATGGATGAATTAGAACAAGCCCTGAAGAAATTAAAACCTAGAAAATCCCCAGGTCCAGATAAGATTCACAACGAAATGCTGCTACATCTTGGCCGTTCTGGCAGAGAAGTAGTTCTTAGGCTAATTAATAAGACATGGATATCAGGCAAACTTCCAAAGGCATGGAGGAATGCATATATTGTCCCCATACTTAAAACCAGTAAGCCTCTAGACGACCCAAAAAGCTATCGCCTGATATCCTTAACATCATGCTTAGGCAAAGTTGCCAAAAGAATGATAAACAGGCGCTTGTATTGGTTCCTTGAGAGTTCAGGGGTTCTATGCCATGAACAGGCAGGCTTTAGAACCAACAGCTGTACAGAAGACCAGCTGTTCAGACTGACACAAAGAATTCAAGACGGATTCCAGAATAAGAAACACATAGTGGCCATCTTTGTCGACCTTCAGCAGGCCTATGACAGAGTATGGAGGAAAGGCCTCCTGATGAAGTTGATGAGCGTAGGAATACATGGCAGGTTGTATAACTGGGTTAAATATTTTCTGATAGATGGAACAATCCAGACTAAGATACACAACGCAATCTCTTCTAAAGAAGTCTTGGAGGAGGGCTTGCCACAAGGCTCATCACTGAGCTGTACACTGTTTCTAATCTTTATAAATGACTTGCCAGAACAAATCAAGGCCGAAAAAACCTTGTAAGCTGATGATCTAGCAATATGGCAGAGTCATGAAAATATAGAAAGTGGAGCCCAAAGACTTAATGGAGACCTTAAAAGACTGCACGAGTACTGCCAAAGATGGAAACTCAAGGTTAACTATACAAAGACGGTCTACACAATCTTTACCAAAAGCCATCAAGTAGCAAGGAAGAATATTAACCTGAGGTTAGACAAGCACCAAGTGATGAAAGAAGAGCATCCTACATATCTTGGAGTCACACTTGACTGGCAGCTGAGCCTCAAGAATCATAAAGAAAACATAAGGAATAAGGCACTGAGGCAGATGCAGTTATTGAAGAGATTTGCAGGTACAGCTTGTGGATCAGACAAGGAAACGCTGAGGGGCTTGTATCTCGGATATGTTTGCTCTGTGATAGAGTATAACAACTCGCTGCTTGCAACCTGCTCCAAGACAAACCTAGAGTCTTTCGACAGAGTACAAAATAATGCCCTCCGATTAATCAGCGGAGCTATACAGTCTACTCCAACTGCTGCATGTGAAATCCATACAAATGTGGAACCCCTCGGGTTGCGGAGAGAAAAAGCCATTTTAGAAATTTATGAAAGATGCATTAGAAAGAATTGTAACCATCCTAATAGACACCTTTTAGAAAATTGGGAATCCAAACAAAGAATAAAGCACAAATCAGTTTTACACTGTGTACATGAGGTACAGGGCAGATACCACCTCCCAGAAAGCCGTCAAGGCACTCAGAATGTTGCAAGAAACTTACCACCACATGCTTGCTTTAAAGCTCCAGAAGTCCGGTTGAAATTGATAGACGAAGAAACTAAACAGTCCGATCCAATCACCGTTATGAACTCATCACTAAAGACCATTGATTCTTACCCCAAAGAATGGATACATGTTTATACTGGTGGATCTGCATTGAAAGCCACCATGAAAGCAGGTTACGAAATCTACATAGGTTACCCTGATGGATCTGTTGAAGAGATATTTGATGCATGCGGGGAATTCTGCTCAAATTATGAAGCTGGAATAATCGTACTGGAAACAGCAGTATACCACCTAAAGACTGTAAAGGATGTTTATCCTTCAAAGGCCCAAAATATTGTCATCTTCACCTATTCAATGTCTGCTCTTCAAGCTCTAGAGGGCAGTGAACGCTGCAGAACTGACATAGCTAAGATAATTCTAGATGCTGATCAGCTTATTACCTCATTCAACATCAGAATAGTGATGCAGTGGATTCGAGGCCACTCCAACACACCAGGTAATGACAGAGCTGACAGATTAGCAAAGAAAGGAGCAACACAAGAACAACCACCTACAGTGACAACCCTACAGACAGCAAAAACACTTATAAAAGCTATAAACAAAGAGACTTGGCTGAACAGATGGGCCATGGGAGATACTGGAAGAGATGTTTATAGACATATGGCTGGCCCTGATCCTAACAACAGCATTAACCATTTAACAAGAAGGGACCAGGCCACCATCTTCAGACTCAGAACACAACATACTCCACTCAATGGACACCTAAACAGAATACAGCCACAACACTCCCCAGAGTGCCAGCTATGTAACTACCCCTATGAAACCGTCGACCATCATCTCTTTGAGTGCCCAAAACTCAACGAGACTAGAAGAATGCTACTCCCTCCGAGACCAGGCAGGTGGAACACCTTGTACGGAGGAAAAGAACAGCTTGTGAAAATATGCAAATTCCACTACATGGCATTGGGTCAAAGGGCGAAAGCTCATGCGCCGCTGGATCAATAGCAACAACAACAAACTTACAGCCTCTGCAATCATCTTTCATTCCAAGCTGTTCTCAAATTCTGACTGTGACATATTTTAATGTTTTTCCTCCTTATCACAAGTAAATGTGTTTTTTTATTTGTAAGGAAAAAGTGATCTTTAAGAAAAAAAAAACTTTTTAGAAAAATTAATAGTTTTTAAAAGCAAACGGAGACAAATTTATCTTAGGTTTGAATAATTTCCATTGCATATTTTTCTCTTGTCCTTTCTTTTGTTTGCATTTTTTTTCTCCTTTACAGTTTTCTAAGCTATTAATGCAGATTGTAGATCACATATACAGAATTATTACAGTAACAGTATTTATTGCTACACATAATTGTTCAACATTTTACAATCTGTCCACTTCATAATTTATGTAAAATTGGCATATCCTTTACAAACAAACCCCAGCATTTATTGACTGTTGTGTGGGTTTACTGTGCAATTTTATGTTCAGTATTTATCTATTACTTTCATATCATTGTAAAATTAAAACAAAGTAGTCTTCAACTGTTTCAAATAGGTGTGTATGGTTTGTATATACTTGGCCACATTTAAAGACATAACACACTTTTAAATACCATACTAGAGGGAATTGTCGAAGGCAAAAGAGCAAGACAATACAAGTGGGAGGAAAACATCAAGAAATGGATGGGCAGGAGTCTGAGAGAGTGTACAACCAGGGCAAGAGACAGGGCATATTAGAGATCCATTGCAGCCAACCTTCATTGTTGAGACAGCAGCTGATTGATTGATTGTGGGGGTTAAAAATGTGACCTATGAAATAGAAGTTAGCTGGTCACAGTTCCAGCCTCCTGGTAGTCAGATCACCTTATAATTGCTTTGTTCACTTGCCAGCGAAAACCTCACAAATTCCCACCCCTTGTGAAAAAGACTGATATAGACTGCACTTTCTGTAAAATCAATAGCATACACATGCATTAAATGCATAAGGCATCTGATGAATAGAAGAATGTGTATTAGCCCTGGTAAATTAATTAAAAATTTATATTCTGCATGCAGCTGCATACATATATTCATTTATGTTGGATGCAAGGCAAGACAGAACACCAGGAAAAGAATTGTCAATTTCTCTATGTAAACACTTGTTTGCCCGTTTTTTATATCTTTTTCAGTTACCGCACACAAAAATCTGGCAAAGAAAATCCGGAAATGCTTGTAAATATGACCTTATATTTTCACCTTTCTATTTTGTTTTAAAGCAACTTCTAAATTTATATAGCATTGCTATTTAAACATGTTTCTATATTGATTTAATCACTGAATTAAGAGCATTTAAATTAAAATTTTTGAAAATTATTATTATTGCTTTTCCAGAGTTGTTAATTATTTTAACGTAGGTTACGTGAAGTGTTAAATTATAAGTTTATTTGCTATTTTAAAATATGCTTTAATATATAATATATTTTGTTTGGAGGAGCTTAACTATGTGAACAATTACTATTATTCTGTTGAGATTATTGTGGATGTGTGTATTTCCTGTTTGAGCATATTCAAATTTTTGATTAGGATATACAACTTCTTAATTTGGAACTTATATCTATGCAATACAGAAGAAATACATTTTTTTAAAAATCAATCAGCGAAGCTTTGGAGAAAAAACTAAACAAATCTATCATGAGATCTTTGCTCACTTTGAACTGTGTGGTGGGTTTGTGTTTAAATCTTCTACACTCCATTTTCAAGTTTAGAAACTTTGACTGAAGCCTGTTTTATGCTGATTAAAGACATACTCCTTGAATGCACAAGTGTGACCTAGAAATTGCTCTTCAAATAAATTTGCTTGAGCTGGTTGGAAAAGGAACGAGCTGGTTAGATGTTGGTAGACCATTTTGATAGTTTGATAAAACAGCACCTGTGGGCTTGTTGTTGTGCAGCTATGTCATTCAAAGAAATTAATAACAAACATCAGTGGCTTCCAAGCAAGCATTAAACCTTTAGAACCAAAATGATTTTATTCGTGTATTAAGGCATTAAAGTACCCTGCTCATGCCATTGACTCATCAGGCACTTGGTTCTACATCCTTGCTTGAAAGGCTTCAACTGGTATTTATTTATTATAATACATCATTATTTGTTTACAGTTGTGGGTTAAAAAGAATTACAAAAAGTTTGATTTTAAAATATATGTCATCCAAAAGCAGGAGATGAATAAAGTGAACAACAAAAAAAGTAAAGAAATCAGAAATGTGTGGACACCGCTAGTATCTACAGTAATAAGTAAAAGAAATGTCTGGACACTGCTGGTGTAAACAGTAATAAGTCAGAGAAATGTCTGGACACAGCTGGTGTCTACAGTAATAAGTCAAAGAAATGTCTAGACACCGCTAGTATCTACAGTAATAAGTCAAAGAAATGTCTAGACACCGCTGGTGTCTACAGTAATAAGTCAAAGAAATGTCTGGACACAGCTGGTGGCTACAGTAATAAGTCAAAGAAATGTCTGGACACAGCTGGTGGCTACAGTAATAAGTCAAAGAAATGTCTGGACACAGCTGGTGTCTACAGTAATAAGTCAAAGAAATGTCTGGACACAGCTGGTGTCTACAGTAATAAGTCAAAGAAATGTCTGGACACCGCTAGTATCTACAGTAATAAGTCAAAGAAATGTCTGGACACAGCTGGTGTCTACAGTAATAAGTCAAAGAAATGTCTGGACACAGCTGGTGTCTACAGTAATAAGTCAAAGAAATGTCTGGACACAGCTGGTGTCTACAGTAATAAGTCAAAGAAATGTCTGGACACCGCTAGTATCTACAGTAATAAGTCAAAGAAATGTCTGGACACAGCTGGTGTCTACAGTAATAAGTCAAAGAAATGTCTGGACACAGCTGGTGTCTACAGTAATAAGTCAAAGAAATGTCTGGACACCGTTGGTGTCTACAGTAATAAGTCAAAGAAAGTATTGGGCACATCCTGAGAGGAAGCAAGCCGGTAATCATCAGACAGGCACTACAATGGAAAGTAAATGGACTGGGTAAATGAGAACATCAGAGTTAAGACATCACAGATGGATGTTGATGAGAGAAGCCAATGATGTTGGACTGGATTCTGTCCATGACATCACAGATGGATGTTGATGAGAGAAGCCAATGATGTTGGACTGGATTCCGTCCATGACATCACAGATGGATGTTGATGAGAGAAGCCAATGATGTTGGACTGGATTCCGTCCATGACATCACAGATGGATGTTGATGAGAGAAGCCAATGATGTTGGACTGAATTCCGTCCATGGCATCACAGATGGATGTTGGTGAGAGAAGCCAATGATGTTGGACTGGATTCCGTCCATGACATCACAGATGGATGTTGATGAGAGAAGCCAATGATGTTGGACTGGATTCCGTCCATGACATCACAGATGGATGTTGATGAGAGAAGCCAATGATGTTGGACTGGATTCCGTCCATGACATCACAGATGGATGTTGATGAGAGAAGCCAATGATGTTGGACTGGATTCCGTCCATGACATCACAGATGGATGTTGATGAGAGAAGCCAATGATGTTGGACTGGATTCCGTCCATGACATCACAATGATTGCACATGATTGAGCAGAATGAAGAAATTGCCTGCGAGCCATTTAATAGCACAGCAGAATTATGTTGATGTGGATAAAGATAAGGATGATGATGATGTGTATGCAATCATATATATTTTTTTAACTGCAGGGAAAATTACAGTCAAACAGAAATGCAACAAGACCAGATGGGGTACCAGAACTGAGACTTGAAGATGCAAGACCTGAATCCTACAGGAGACCAGACAAGCAGGTTTGATACTTAGTACCTTGTGTTTGGCCTTCAGTTCCTTAGTGCCATTCCTTATAATATGTAAAGGCCTAAAACTTCTCTGTGGAGATCGCCCTGAGCTCATTTGATGCTGTCCTATAATTACTTTAACTTCCTGTCATGAGATTTTCTATTTCAAGGTTTCCAGAGTTTTGACTCTAGAAAAGTTTAAATAATAAAACGGTGGCCATTAGGAGTGAAACTAACAGTTCAGATCAATGAGTAATATAAAAACTGTGAGCATGTATTAAGCATTTTTTAAAGTAATCATCTAAATGATTTTAAGTATTGGCTGTTACTTCCTTTCTCTCATGTGGGCATCTTCAGTAAAATTGTCTGGTACATAAAGAGTTGTGAACCATAGTGTTACTGTAATATATTTATCATAAACTAAAGGTATGGTGACTCTTGGGTTGCCAGCTCCCTCAATGTGAGGCAAAGAAAGCTAACCCTAACAGGCATGCTGTAAGAGGTGATTACGGTTAGTGTCAGGCCTGGGATCAGCTACCTTGTCTTGTAAAACACTAGTCACAAAAACTAGTCAACCATGATAATTCTGTTGAATCGAGAGTTGAGGAAAAGATGCTAGCATTGGATAAGACACACGTTGAGAAAACCTGATGATAATTTTTTACAATATATTTGCACTGAAATCCACAGGATCAAAGGAATAGAGACAAATCAAAAGGGAACAAAATTTAACAGTAACATAACATAGCATAACATAACAAAACTCTTGACCAGTTAGGGTTGTGAAGGTGTAATGATGGAAGCACTAGCCCACAAAACCCACCATCTTTCTCTGTTTTCCACTTGGTGAATAAATGTTTGATAACTTAGTCCTGTCCATTTCTTGATGTTGTCATTCCAGGTTCTTCTTTGCCCTCCTCTTCTTCGACTACCCTCGAATGTTCCTTGAAGTACAGTCTTTGCAAACAGATAGGGAGGACATTAAGTGAGCTGTATGCAATGGCAAAGTATGCAATCACCTAGGATGAGTTGGTTGAGGGTCTATGCTTCATTGAGGGATAAAAGGCAAAAGAAGAGCTTTGGTCACAGTGAATGTTTCATCATCATCATCATGTAGCGAGCCCTTTACAGAATGTCACTCTCATCATGGTCTGCCTGAAAGAAATCGGTTCTTGCCAGCTCTCCTGCCTCAAGCAGTTTCCTGCGCAGGTTGTCTCTTATATCCTGTGCCCATCTTCATGCTGATCAGCTCATGCCCTCCTCTGCTGTTCTTCCTAGTCCACCCGTGATGCTTGACATGGCCAAAATATTTCAGTTACTGAGACATATTTACTAGCCCATCTTCCTTGTAGTATGTTGATTTTTTTTTTTTTTCTTGCTCCATAATATTCTGAGAATCTTTCTATAGCATTTTAGCTCAAAAGCCCTTTTCTTTTATCCTCAAGGCCTGGGAGAGGGTCTATGACTTCCATCCGCATGTTGCTCATGGAAAATGCCTGCTCTTAAAATAATGACTTTGATTTTCTCGCTGGTGCTTAACCATAGACTTTTGATGCTCTTTAATCTTTGCATTGCTATTGCCATACTCATTTTGACTTCTGTTGAACAGTCTCAATTGCTGTTTATTATGTAGCCTAGATAGTCAGTTTGTGACATTTTCAGTTTCTTGGTCATTTATTTTTATTTTGGGTGACAGAAGTTTATTCAGGTGGGCAATATTATTGTTTCCTTTAAATTCAAGAATAGGTTTTGATCTTCACTGTGTCTCTGGACAGACATGATTAAATATGCTATTCCCTTTACACTGTTTGAAAGGAGGACTGTGTCGTCTGCATAGGGTAGCTCTGGAATTGGGTTGCCGCCATTTATGAGCAGATCATAACTTTCACAAGTCTGGTCTTTTTTTACATTTAACAGTAAACTAGTTTGTGAATAAATCTGTAGTTACATGATTTATCGAAGTCAACTAATTTGCCTTACATTGTAAGACAGTCCCAATCAGCACACACAAAATATCTAATACATAGCATATTCATTTCCACTCTATGTTTCCTGTGCCAGAAATGGTCACACCCAATAAACCAGAAAACAGAAATAAGTAACCATGTAATCTCAACATTTATATTAGTATCCAGTGGCTAATATTGCCAGATAGTCATTTAGTGCTTTTATAGTGAACTCTGGTGTGCCTCAGGGCTGTGTACTGTCGCCGCTTCTTTTCATAACTTACATGGATACCATATGTAGCGAAACGAACTTTATTCATGAAGAAGATATTACAGAATTACTATTCGCCAATGACCAGGTACTCATAGCAAAAATTACAGAATGCCTACAGAACCACCTAAACCAAATTAGTAACAAAGGAAAGGAATCTAATATGAAAATAAACACTATGAAGACAGAGACAATGGTAATAGGAAGACAGAAATATAATTTAGAAATAAAATTAAAAAACACCTTAAGAAAAACAGAGAAATTTAAGTATTTTGGAGCAATTTTCACATCCGACGGAAAACTGGACAGAGAAATTAGCTCAAGATGTGCGAAAGCTAATCAAGTAATGGGGCAACTATCTCCTCTTTTTACACACAAACAGATACCTCGGAATACTAACGTAAATCCTAACAGAAATAATTTTTGACCAACACTATGCTATCAGTGCCAAACGTGGACACCCTCATCCTCCAATGAACATAAAATTGTGAGCTGCAGGAGTTTCAAGGAAAGACAGAATACGAAATCTGATGAATGCTAGGAATAAAGTCGGTCCTATAGGTCATCAAAGAACCAAAAAAAAAGTGGTTTGGACACCTAAAAAGAATGTCCTGGTACTATCTACCACAGTGAGCCACACTAAAATGTTACAACGGGTATAGAGTGAGTGAAAGACCTCGGAAAATATGGAGGGATGGCATTAAGAACAGCATTACAGAAATGAACATCAGTCTTAATAGAGCTCATCAACGAATATTACATCTCCCCCCAACACTTTGATAAGTTACAAGATGGAAGAGAAGAAGAAGAAGAAGTCATTAAGTGTGCCTCTGGTACCTGGTCTTGCTACTCTTTATTCCATCAGTATGGACACCCCCCATCCCTCAAATCTCCCCAGTCATTTTTTCTCTCTCTCTCTCTCTCTCTCTCTCTCTCTCTCTCTCTCTCTCTCTCTCTCTCTCTCTCTCTCTCTCTCTCTCTTTCCCTCTCTCTCTCTTTCTCTCTCTCTCCCTCTCTCTCTCTCTGGGTATTGACAATGTTGCTATAATCTATCAGCAGACAGTGTGGGATAAAGACCCTGTCCCTGTGACAGTTTCCCAGCCGTCTGCAAGGTACAAGCAAATGTACCAGCAGTACTCGGATGAAATGAAGCAGTCCTACAGAGATCATGTCAATGCCAGCAAGGTAACTCTTCTGCTTTAAAGAACACCCATTTTTTTCTGGCATATGGTTTTGTTAACTCTGTAATCTTGTTTCATTGCAAAGCATCTTCAGAATATATGTAAAGTGTATAGAGAAAAGACATCACAGAATTACACAACAGATACAGTAGAAATGTTGACAATAAATCTTAAATGTGACGAGAATAGACAGGATCAGAAATGGCGACATAAAGAAACAGGTTGGGATGGAACCAGGACTAAACTACTTCAGGACACAGATCAGATGATTCAAACAATTGTCAAGAATACCGCAGGATAGATAGTACACCACAATAAACCCGGTCACTAAGACACAGCTCAAAGTTGCGCAAGCAAGCAATGGATAGAAAGAATATCCCAGGCTGTGAATACCAACATCTATGTAGCATTCATGAAGGCTCACACAGAATGCCTGTCACTAAACCTGATGCTGAAAGGCAGAGCAGGAAATAAAGAAAAGAAAAAAGATAAAAGAAAGTGACACAAGTAAAATATATTTATTTAAACAACTGTAGTTGCAGACTGTCAGTAATTGTGATAGTAAGTTGCAGACTGTCAGTAACTGTGATAGTAAGTTGCAGACTGTCAGTAACTTTAATAGTAAGTTGCAAACTGTCAGTAACTGTAATAGTCAATTGCAGACTGTCAGTAACTGTAATAGTAAGTTGCAGACTGTCAGTAACTGTAATAGTAAGTTGCAGACTGTCAGTAACTGTGATAGTAAGTTGCAGACTGTCAGTAACTGTAATAGTAAGTTGCAGACTGTCAGTAACTGTGATGACAGTAAGTTGCAGACTGTCAGTAACTGTGATAGTAAGTTGCAGACTGTCAGTAACTGTGATGACAGTAAGTTGCAGACTGTCAGTAACTGTGATGACAGTAAGTTGCAGACTGTCAGTAACTGTGATAGTAAGTTGCAGACTGTCAGTAACTGTGAAAGTAAGTTGCAGACTGTCAGTAACTGTGATAGTAAGTTGCAGACTGTGAGTAACTGTGATAGTAAGTTGCAGACTGTCAGTAACTGTGATGTCAGTAAGTTGCAGACTGTCAGTAACTGTGATAGTAAGTTGTAGACTGTAAGTAACTGTGATAGTAAGTTGCAGACTGTCAGTAACTGTGATGACAGTAAGTTGCAGACTGTCAGTAACTGTAATAGTAGGTTGCAGACTGTCAGTAACTGTGATGACAGTAAGTTGCAGACTGTCAGTAACTGTGATGACAGTAAGTTGCAGACTGTCAGTAACTATGATGACAGTAAGTTGCAGACTGTCAGTAACTGTGATAGTAAGTTGCAGACTGTCAGTAACTGTAATAGTAGGTTGCAGACTGTCAGTAACTGTGATTGTAAGTTGCAGACTGTCAGTAACTGTGATGACAGTAAGATGCAGACTGTCAGTAACTGTGATGACAGTAAGTTGCAGACTGTCAGTAACTGTGATGACAGTAAGCTGCAGACTATCAGTAACTATGATGACAGTAAGTTGCAGACTGTCAGTAACTATGATGACAGTAAGTTGCAGACTGTCAGTAACTGTGATGACAGTAAGTTGCAGACTGTCAGTAACTGTAATAGTAAGTTGCAGACTGTCAGTAACTGTAATAGTAAGTTGCAGACTGTCAGTAACTGTGATAGTAAGTTGCAGACTGTCAGTAACTGTGATAGTAAGTTGCAGACTGTCAGTAACTGTAATAGTAAGTTGCAGACTGTCAGTAACTATGATGACAGTAAGTTGCAGACTGTCAGTAACTGTGATGACAGTAAGTTGCAGACTGTCAGTAACTGTAATAGTAAGTTGCAGACTGTCAGTAACTGTAATAGTAAGTTGCAGACTGTCAGTAACTGTGATAGTAAGTTGCAGACTGTCAGTAACTGTAATAGTAGGTTGCAGACTGTCAGTAACTGTGATAGTAGGTTGCAGACTGTCAGTAACTGTGATAGTAAGTTGCAGACTGTCAGTAACTGTGATAGTAAGTTGCAGACTGTCAGTAACTGTGATAGTAACTGACACTGCAGCTATTGGTGTTTGTATGAGCCAGCTGTACATGCTAGGACTGATAAGTGACAATATATCACTGTTTCTGTCCCAATCTGCTGTTACTCTTTCTACTGATAAGTGACAATATATCACTGTTTCTGTCCCAGTCTGCTGTTACTCTTTCTACTGATAAGTGACAATATATCACTGTTTCTGTCCCAGTCTGCTGTTACTCTTTATATCCAAAGAAAAAAAAGACAATGTGAAGTAAGGATTCTAACAGACCAGATAAAGTGTGTTAGTGTATCTGTTACATAAGAATTGAAGAAAAGTATATTGTCTTATATATATTACCAAGAAACATCTTTAAAACAGATGTACATCCAAAACCCAGTTTTTTTTGGAACAAGGCCAAAGAATATTTTGTTAGAGTTTACAGCCAGTGAACAGGAAGAAGAAATAGGATACCTCAGTGGTAATACATTTACATTTGTTTCTTTTCTTAGTTTAAAAAAAAAAAAAACTTTTGTCACCCTATTCATTATCAGGATATGGTGTTCAACCCATATTTTGTAAAAATCAGTCTCCACTTGAATGGGTGATGTGGTCAGCATCACACTGGACGACACTTTTACTTCACAGGACATTTCCTGCTACTACTTTTAAGCTGAACTGCCCTTGGACAGTCATACAACACTTCATGTGGATTCAGATCCAAGATATTTAAAGTCGCAGGCAAATGCTGGGTTTTATTTTCCCAAAAGCAAAAAAGGTGCCAGTACTGTTAATGTTTAGAAAGGTGCCGGTATTCACCACAAAGCCTCTGTTACTGTAGCACTGATTAAAAAAATGCCAGTAATGCGTAACATTGTGATTTTTAAAAAAAAAGTAAAGGACCCTTTTCCACGCCTTTAGGCATATAGGGCTAGACCTATATTTTATAGACCAACGGCACAAGATGGGTGATGTGGTCAGTATCACGCCGGCCGCCTCTGCTTCCCGGGACTGCACCTGGTACCCACTCAAAGCTGGGTCGACCTGGAAGCCAAGGTCATTTCTGAAGAAAGTCCGGCTCCACCAGGGAGCGAACCCACGACCTTACATTGTGTATTGCATGGGGGGAAAGGCCCTGATAAGTGTGAGATTTTTTAAAGTCTAATAGTTTTCTATTCCAGATTAATTTTAGACTAGAACATATAACACAATATTTGTGCCTCCAACAGCTAAAATACTGTATATTGAACATTTTAGCCTGGAGTTGGAAATAAAGAAGTGAAACATTCCAGTGCCCCAAAGGCAGGGACACAGCAGGATCTTAATGGTGAAATAGAAGACAGTGTTCAACATCAAAGTGATGGCATGCATTCTAAAAACCCAACTTTGCAACGCTACACGGACATGAAACAACTCAAGAAGAAGGATGCTGTAAGACTACACTTTTTCTTTCTTGATTTGTTCTTGTCAGCTTTTTGAGTGCAAAGTAAGAATGGATGGTTTTTAAATACATTACTCCAAAACAGAACTGTGACCGCTCATAAACTTGTAGCTGAGATATTGCAATCAGTGTTCCTGTTGTGACTACTCATAGACTTGCACCGGAGATATTGCAGTCAGTGTTCCCATTGTGACTACTTGTTAACCTGTACCTGAGATATTGCAATCAATGTTCCTGATGTGACTACTTGTTAACCTGTACCTGAGATATTGCAATCAATGTTCCTGATGTGACTACTTGTTAACCTGTACCTGAGATATTGCAATCAATGTTCCTGATGTGACTACTTGTTAACCTGTACCTGAGATATTGCAGTCAGTGTTCCCATTATGACTACTCATAGACTTGTACCTCAGATATTGCAATCAATGTCCCCATTGTGACTACTTGTTAACCTGTACCTGAGATATTGCAATCAATGTTCCTGATGTGACTACTCATAGACTTGTACCTCAGATATTGCAATCAATGTTCCTGATGTGACTACTTATAGACTTGTACCTCAGATATTGCAATCAATGTTCCTGATGTGACTACTCATAGACTTGTACCTCAGATATTACAGTCAGTGTAACTATTGTGACTACTTATAGACTTTTACCTGAGATATTGCAATCAATGTTCCTGATGTGACTACTCATAGACTTGTACCTCAGATATTGCAATCAATGTTCCTGATGTGACTACTCATAGACTTGTACCTCAGATATTACAGTCAGTGTAACTATTGTGACTACTTATAGACTTTTACCTGAGATATTGCAATCAATGTTCCTGATGTGACTACTCATAGACTTGTACCTGAGATATTGCAATCAATGTTCCTGATGTGACTACTCATAGACTTGTACCTCAGATATTGCAGTCAGTGTAACTATTGTGACTACTCATAGACTTGTACCTGAGATATTGCAATCAATATTCCTGATGTGACTACTCATAGACTTTTACCTGAGATATTGCAATCAATGTTCCTGATGTGACTACTCATAGACTTGTACCTCAGATATTACAGTCAGTGTAACTATTGTGACTACTCATAGACTTTTACCTGAGATATTGCAATCAGTGTTCCCATTGTGACTACTCATAGACTTGTACCTCAGATATTGAAATCAATATTCCTATTGTGACTACTCATAGACTTGTACCTGAGATATTGCAATCAATATTCCTATTGTGACTACTCATAGACTTTTACCTGAGATATTGCAATCAATATGCCCATTGTGACTACTCATAGACTTGTACCTCAGATTTTGCAATCAGTATTCCCATTGTGACTACTCATAGACTTGTACCTGAGATATTGCAATCAGTGTTCCCGTTGTGACTACTCATAGACTTGTACCTCAGATATTGCAATCAGTGTTCCCGTTGTGACTACTCATAGACTTGTACCTCAGATATTGCAATCAGTATTCCCATTGTCACTACTCATAAACTTGTACCTGAGATATTGCAATCAGTGTTCCCGTTGTGACTACTCATAGACTTGTACCTCAGATATTGCAATCAGTATTCCCATTGTCACTACTCATAAACTTGTACCTGAGATATTGCAATCAGTGTTCCCGTTGTGACTACTCATAGACTTTTACCTGAGATATTGCAATCAATATTCCCATTGTGACTACTCATAGACTTGTACCTCAGATATTGCAGTCAGTGTTCCCATTGTGACTACTCATAGACTTGTTTTACATACTTTAATCTCCACTTTTTTTTAATTAAACTTTAATCATGATTTGTTGTAACTGGTTTTGAAGTAATGTGAAAGGTCAATTTAATCTGTTATCTCATTAACATGAGAAAAGCAGGCTACAAGGCAAAAGACCAGCCAAGAAAGAGATGGGTGGAGGGAGCAAAAAAGACATTAGAGAAATGCAATACGACATTTACACAATTACCAGCTAGCAAAAAACAGGAAACTAAATCTAACTACTCTCTGCAACACTACGGCAAAAGAAGACGAGCAAGAACTCATTAACTCTTTTGGTACCAGAGGACAGTTAACTTAGTTATGAATCAGCACATGAGTTTTATAAATCAACACATGAGTTCTATAAATCAACATATGCATTCTATAAATCAACACATGAGTTCTAAAAATCAACACATGAGTTATATAAATTAGCACAAGAGTTCTATAAATCAACACATGGTTTCTATGAAGCAACACATGAGTTCTATTAATCAAAACATGAGCTCTATAAATAAGCACACAAGTTCTGTAAATCAACACATTAGTTCTATAAATCACCACATGAATTCTATAAATCAACACATGAGTTCTATAAATCAACACATTTCTAAAAATCAACACATGAGATATATAAATCAGCACAAGAGTTCTATAAATCACCACATGAATTCTATAAATCCCCACAGGACTTCTATAAATCAACACATGAGTTCTATAAATTAACACATCAGTTCTATAAATCAACACACAAGTTCTATAAATTAACACATAAGTGCTGTGGCTGGTCGGGTACTGGACAGAAGCAATGTTATCAGTACAATGGCATGACGGTATCCCTCTCTAGGTGGATGGACATGGTAGTGCTACTTGGAGCTGCAAGGAAGGAACATTTTGCCAAGGAGACAAGAATTAGATTAATCAACACAGAACAGGCGTCATCCGTCATTTTACGCTGGTGGTGCCTTCGAGGAGGAGCTCTGAGCACCTGTAGGTCTGTCCAGAGTACTATGATGGTGATAATCTGCACTAACCATTATACATGTAAAAAAGAAGACAGTTTGATTTTTCTTTTTAAATTATTTGTTTATAACTATTTTTCAGGAAGAATTATTGGAGAAAAATAAAAAACTCAAGCTGGTTGAAACAGTCATGATAGATCAGATGTCAAGGTTGTTTTGTGTGTATGTGTGTTTTTTATATTAAATTTAAGTATGTTTTTGGAAATTATTGTTTATTTAATTTCTTTATGGATCTTGCATTCATAGAATACTGTTTTTTTTTAAACATTAACAAAATAATTGACATCTTTTTTCTGCTCAGATTTTTCTAATTATTCAGTTTTTAGTACTTCACTGATTTCATTTCAAATATTGTATCCATAAATTATCTTATTTAACATTGTTTATATATAAAAGTGACATTGCGTATGCACTTTTTGTTGAATTATTAGTTTCAGAAACATTTCTGAATTATTTGGAACCTAATTAGTGTTTTAGTCTGATGTGTCTCCCAATATGCCACTTTTTTTCATTTTTGATCCTAGATTGTGCTTCTACATGTTTTATTATGTTCTTTTATATTGTCACCGTCTTTTTATAAGTACCTTTTCCTAAATTGTCTTTATTAAATTAAAATTAAAAATCGAAATACTAGTGAAAATTAATATTGTTTTTTTAAAAAGATACAGTGAATCAAGTTTATCAGTTAAATTATGTAAGTGACAGAAACAGTGTACAGTGAGACATCACCTAAATATGCAAAATAAATGTGAAACACAAAAGAAATAACAAAATAGTGTAATTAAAAAAAAAAAAAAAAAAAACATTTCTCAGCATTAATTAATTAACTTTTAATGAAATGCACACAATGAAAAAAAATCTTGATATCTGAAACAAAAGAAGGGCAAACATAGCTTTGCAGTTTCATGTGTCTTTCAGATAATATTTATGTGTTTCTTTAACATATATGCACACATTTAATTGTGATGTCCTTTAAATATTGGTTAATGAAAATTCCTTAAATATGATATGCTCATTTTTATCTGTTTGGAAACTGTTATTTTCAAGGGCAGTAATAAGTGACACAGAACAAAATGAGTTTCAAGCAAACAGACATAATTCTTCACAGAGAAGCAGAGTTACCAACAGACACTTGCATGATTCCAAGTAAGATTCTAGCAGATGAACCAGCATTGAAGTTTGGCTTTATTGTTTCATTTAAAGATCATGTTTTTGTATTAGTTATTAAAAGCCATTTGCAGTAATTACCCTTTGTTTTTCTAGTATGAGAATTATTTTCTGATTGACATTCAAAGCATGAAAAGTATTGCTGTGTTGACTCCTTTTGCTCTCCATTTCCTTACCTACCTCCACCTCCTTTCTTTTCATTTTGTAATTTATCTACTTATGTGTCTAGCATTTATTTAATATTAACAATATTTTTTTGGGAGTCGCCCTGGTGTAGCGGCTAGACACTCTCCTGCAGATTGGGAGTCATGGGTTCGGGAACTTCTTCTTCTTCGCGTTCACCAGCTGTACACTTTGGCGTAAAGTTCTGGTTGTTCGTCCTTTCTGGACTGCAGTCCTGCTCCAGAACCTGAGTGTTGCGTGTGCATCAGTTTTACAGATCTGATTCAATTGAATGCAGACAGCTTGTTCCTTGCCTCTCAGGCAGATGCACTCCGACTTCAAAGGAAGCTCCCCAATTAGTCGACTCTTACGACATGCTTTTGGGGAGGCAGTGGGTCTATTCTTTTTTTCCCCACAATGGGGCCCCGGAACCCACACAGGGGAGGTTCAAGACCTGACGGAGCCAGACTTTTTTTTTCCAAAATTACCTTGGCTGCTTGGTTGATGCAGCCTTGAGTGGGTGTCAGGTACAGTCCTGGGAAGTAAAGGCAGCCAAGTGCTGGTTGGTCTATAAAATGTATGCCTAATGTGGAAAAGATTTTGTTTTTGAATATAAAAACAAAGAAGTCAATATTTTTGTTTAAATGACATGAAAATTATAAATTAGATTTTCTATTTATGACAAGACTAGAAATTAAATTTTAAGATAAATATCCACTAGAGCGGAGCAGAACGTTTATCACAGTCCCTTGTGGAAAGATTGACAGACTGCTGTTTCAGCATATTTAGCATACACTTGCAATAAAGCATACGGTAGCCATCTGTAGTGCTAACACAAACAGTCCGACATTAGAAATGCAGTTCATCATTGGTGGTAGCAGAAGTCAACAACAGATCAGCAGTTGCCCACGCGATCAATTTTAATCGCATACATTCACCACCAACATTGCGACAACAGGCATCACACCATTTTCTGAATCTACAATTCACACCACCACGTTGGTCACAGTCGAAAAAACATTCCAAATGGAATCCGCAGCTCACAGTGTCACGCCATGCAATCAACTCAGAAGCTGGGCGACAAAACTATATCAAAAACATTTGCCTCGGCTCCAAAAAGTGCTGCCGCCTAGCGTCCATTTTGACCGGAAGTGTGTCTGCCAGCTACACGACAGTTGCCTCAAACATTACATGAAGATCAATATTGAAAAAAAACGGAAGTCATGAGAATAAGTAGAGAGCAACAAACCATTGACAAGATCAAAGATTAAAGTCTGAAACAAGTGCAAGAATTTAAAAACTTGGGAAGTATCTTTACATACAATGGAAAAATAGACAGAAAGATAGAAACGAGAATCCAACAAGCCAAAAGTGTGATGTACAATCTTGCTTCAGTATTGAAACACCCTGCTATCCCAATAGAGACAAAAAGACCAATTATAAATACAATATTTATTCCGACTTTAGGTTACCAGTATCATACTTGGACATTGATTGGCAAAAGAACTCGAGAGAAACTAACCACCTGTGAGATGAGATGTTTGAGAATCGCTGTGAATAAAACCAGATGAGATCGAGTGAGAAACAACATGATCACAAGAACTGTTGGAATAACACCAATCGTCAAATTTATTGAGAAAAAAGGAATGAAATGGTTTGGTCATCTAATGAGGATGAAAAAAATAATGCCAGCAGCAAGAGCATACAACCTGAAAAAGATGGACTCAAAGAGTCACCGACACCTTGAGTCCGCCTAACATCACGGCTTATCAAGTGATCGAGCGTGCCCTGGCTCAGCTGCCGATCGTCTGATGAATCGCGATGCCTAGCGGATAAGCAGATATTGACAAAAGAACAAATAAATAGTTCTATGGCAACATTTTCCATGCGTTTTTCAGAGTTAGTACCAGAGCAACAGCCACAGAAAGTCTGTTGTCAAGACGGGTGCGGTTTGGTGCAAGAATTCTAACACAGTAAGTTTTGAATTACAAGTATCAGTTATTCAGTTTATCATGCAATGTACAGATATCTCTTTGAACTTTACACCGATATGATATTGACATTTGTTCATTAAACAAAGTTTCTTCTTTTTTCTCTCTTTTAAATAAACAGCATTTCTTCTGAGCTTATTGACATCTTCATAGAGTTTATTCTCACCTTGTGTGAATGTAAGCCAGAATAATTTCCTCTGCTCTGCATATATTGAACACTCTTGCAGCACATTTTTAGGTGTCAATTTCACAGTTATATTCATTTGTTATGTCCTAACTAATGCAAATGGTATTTAAACTAATTACCATACTCAAAGACTAGCTTCACTTTCCATTAGAGGGCCTTTTTGAGTCTTTCCGTCTATCCCGAACCTGCATGCGTTTTGCAAGCTGATTGTTACTTTTTGCCTTTTTTCTTGACTTACTCTTTTACTACTTTGAGTGTTAGGGAAAGATAAAATTCTCAGTTTTGCTTTTCTGACCACTTTGACCATAGACACGTTGTCCTGGTTTAGAGTTTCTCTTGTCTTTGCATCTTGTTCTTGGTCTACGTTATGCTGTAGGCCCTTTTCCTCATTGTATGGTATGGTATCACCAGACATTCTCTTTAATTGGGCAAGCCAGTTTATTTGCTGTCATTGTATGGTATGGCATCACCATACATTCTCTTTAATTGGGCAAGCCAGTTTATTTGCTGTCATTGTATGTCGCCTAAAATTGGTGCTATGCCAAATTTTTATTATGTGACTTCATTCCTGACTTTATATTTTCTGGTTACTCTGGCAGCCTTTCTCTGACATCTCATTTCCCTGGTTGCTTATTTTATTTTCTGACTGTGTGTTTGTGTGTGTGTGTGTGCATGTTCGTGTGTGTGCGCGCGTGAGTGAGAGTTGAGTGAGTGAGTGACCGACTGACCATGGTTGGCACTGGTAGCATGGGGTGGGAGTGATTATACTTTGTATGTAATGTTTCTTTTGTCACTGGGGATTGATGTATGTTGTACGGGGAAGTCCAGCTGTGCCAGTACCTGGATTTCTTTACTGCAGGGCTATTTAGCTGGCTGCCTGCCGGCCACATTTGACCCACATAGATCTAGCAAGTGACCCCCGGATCATTGCTAGTTGTATTGTATTAATGATCTTTCTGTGCTGGTGCTTAGACTTATGACCCATGGCTATCCCTGTTTTCAACATTTTGGCCCCTTAATAAACTTATTTGAATAGCCCTGCTTTATTGCATTGAGTCTTCAATTATTTGTCCATCTTTGATCATAGTGGACCCAGATATGTAAAATCATAAGCTTATTTAATACCTGTTGTCAATTTTGTTTGGGGTGAGGGGGTAGGGGGTTGCTCTTGAATAATTTATCCCAGTGCATCCTCAGTTGAAAATCAATGACGACACTTGGGTAGGTTTGATTTTTTATTGTGGTGTGCAGAGTTTTTCCACATCAACATTAACTAAACAGTTATTATATTTTTTTTTTCGTCACGGAGAATACTGTGAATTATAAAGGCTAAATGCTCATCAGATTGTTACAACAGTTGAGTAAAGAGTCTTTGTTTTGGCTTTCTCAACCAGGAATGGGCATGATGCACTAAGGGAGCTAACTGGATTTTTTTTCCAGTTTGATAAAACCCTAACAGTGTACGAATTCAGACAATTTGGGAAAAGGTGAGAATAAATAAGTATTTTCCATAGCTGTCTCTCTGTCTATTCTCTATCTTGAAATGGATTGCTGTTGGTCCATATAACTATTAATAATAATAATCAGAAAGATATAGTTGCCAGTCCTGAGTAAATGTTTTAGTAGGAATATTTCGGATTTACTTAGTTAACCATGCTGTATGTATGTGTTCATTTTATTTTTTTTTTGACTTACTTACGTCCTTTTCAGGACGTAATTTTTTCTTATTTGAAGCCCCACTCTGGCTTTTGCCAGGGGCCGCAATATAGGCAGGCCATACATATGGCCAAATGTCTGAACGCGGTTTCTGGGACCTCTCCACGGTGATCCTCATCCGCATGGTGGCACTTTGTGTCATCGGGTGTTTATCGCTTGTGTGATGTCCTAGTGGGGTAGAAAGTCAGTCAGTCAGTCAGTATGTATGTGTATGTGTTATTCATTTACGTCCTTCTTAGGACGTAATTTTTTGTTATTTGAAGCCCCACTCTGGCTTTTGCCAGGGGCCGCAATATAGGCAGGTCATTATTATGGCCGAATGTCTGAACGCGGTTTCTGGGACCTCTCCACGGTGATCCTCATCCGCATGGTGGCACTTTGTGTCATCGGGTGTTTGTCGCTTGTGTGGTGTCCTGGTGGGGTAGAAAGTCAGTCAGTCAGTCAGTATGTATGTGTGTAGGTTCCTTTTATTCTAACTTCGTCCTTCTTAGGACGAAATTTGTTGTCATTTGAAGCCCTACTCTGGCTTTTGCCAGGGGCCGCAATATAGGCAGGCCATATATGGCCAAATGTCTGAACGTGGTTTCTGGGACCTCTCCACGGCGATCCTCATCCACATGGTGGCACTTTGTGTCATCGGGTGTTTATCGCTTGTGTGATGTCCTAGTGGGGTAGAGGGTCAGTCAGTCAGTATGTATGTATGTATGTAGTAGTAGTAGTGCAGACATCATGAAAAGTGAGAACATGGCGCAGAAAGGCACATACAGTGAAGAGCTGGAAAATGAGTTCAAACACACTGATCCAAACGCACACACAAGCAGATTACTTGCACAGGAAATTGATCGGCTCACTAAAGGTGAAGATGAAAAGAAAGACCGCCCACCAGTTTCCATGTATGACATTCACCATGATCGACCCCAGCAATTTTCTGTGAAAATCAGAATTCCCACCAAAGAATATCCTAGATATAATTTTGTTGGCAAATTGCTTGGACCAAAAGGACAGACTCTCAGAGCACTTCAAGTTTAGACTGGCTGTAAAATGGCCATCATGGGCAGAGGATCAATGAGAGATAAAGAAAAGGAGGAATAACTGAGGAAAGAAGGTGGCAAATACGCACATCTCAGCGAGGAGCTCCATGTGTTGGTAGAGTGCTATACAGAACTGACTGATGGTTATTACAGACTTGCAGCAGCCTTGACCGATCTCAAGAAATTTGTCATCCCTGAATTGATGGAAGACGCATATGGCGGCCCTGGTGGCGCAGAAATGGGAATGGACGGTCCTCCGGTTAGAGGAAGAGGCGGTTACAGAGGTGGACCTCCAGACAGAGGTGGTCGCGGTGGCTTCAGAGGACGTGGAAATTGACCTGTACTCGCACCTCCTCCTGGTGGAAGAGGCGCCCCACCGACTAGAAGTCCAAGAGGAGCACCCCGAGGAGGTCCTGCTGGACGTGGCGCACCCTCAAATCGAGGAGCTAGGGCTGCTCCTCCACCAGCTTCATATGAAGGCTACAGTTCTCAGGGCTACGGATCTGGTTATGAATCATCATATGACGAAGGCTATGAACAAGAAGCATATTATGACTATGGTGCCCCTAACTTCGGCTCTGCTGCAGGCTATGAATCGTATTCAGGTTATGACTATGGTGATGGCTGGTCAAGTGGTGGGAAAACAGCTGCTGCACCATCGAGGGGTTCCTCCAGAGGTCAGGCCAGATCGCACCCTTACTCACGTACAGCATCAGGCAACTACTGAAAAGAACTTGCCTCTTGTCATTTTGTCATGATATTGTGGCTAATAGAAGTCATCGTCGTACACTGTAGTTGTGTTGAGACTGGATGGTGTTGTGCACGCTTGCTATATAATGTTGGCTGGCAGGTATATTTGGGAATGGAGTGGGAATTTGGTTAGGATAAAACAAGCTATTTTTAGTCACAAACTTAGGATTATGAACACTTAGCACTTAACGCCAATGAATAGGAAAAACTGTTAGATGTATTTCATTTTCATAGTTTTTAATTTGCAGCAATATAACAACCTCATAATGTTGAGTTTAAAATTTTGTTTTTTAAACTGATTTTCAATTGTACAAATTGCAAAAATAGGTGTTCAATATTTGTTGATGTAGCAAGAAAGAAAACTGTCATTGTTGTAACGTGATTGTAATATAAATTTTTGTGTTCTTAATATTCCATAGTGAAAATCATTAAAAATTGTCTTAATATTCCTAATAAAAGTCATTAAAAGTTGTTGCTTAATATTCCTAATAAAAGTCATTAAAAGTTGTTGTCTTAATATTCCTAATAAAAGTCATTAAAAGTTGTCTTAATATTCCTAATAAAAGTCATTAAAAGTTGTTGCCTTAATATTCCTAATAAAAGTCATTAAAAGTTGTTGTCCTAATATTCCTAATAAAAGTCATTAAAAGTTGTTGTCCTAGTATTCCTAATAAAAGTCATTAAAAGTTGTCTTAATATTCATAATAAAAGTCATTAAAAGTTGTTGTCTTAATATTCCTAATAAAAGTCATTAAAAGTTGTTTTAATATTCCTAATAAAAGTCATTAAAAGTTGTTTTAATATTCCTAATAAAAGTCATTAAAAGTTGTTGTTTTAATATTCCTAATAAAAGTCATTAAAAGTTGTTGTTTTAATATTCCTAATAAAAATCATTTAAAGTTGTTTTCATAACTAAAAAAAAAAACAGTAGTAGTTACTTCTCGTGTTTTTAAAATTTATATGATGAATTGGTCAAGTAGAAAGCAATTGATGTCACTTGTGGGACAGGATTTCCCCCCAAAAATAAAAGTGAATATCACAACAACAACAAATACTTTTTTAGGATGACATTTTTGTTATTTTAAGCCCTGCTCTGGCTCTTGCCAGGGGCCGCAATATAGCCAGGCCATAAATATGGGCAATTGGCTGAGCGCGGTTTCTGGGACCTCTCCACGGTGATCCTCATCCACATGGTGGCATATTGTGTTTATTGCTTGTGTGATGTCCTAGTGGGGTAGAAAGTCAGTCAGTCAGTATGTATGTATGTATGTAAGTATGTATGTATGTATTACTTCCTTGTCATCCCTTTATGGGATGCAATTTTTCGTTATTTGAAGCCCTACTCTGGCTCTTGCCAGGGGCTGCAATATAGCCAGGACATAAATATGGCCAATTGGCTGAACGCTGTTTCTGGGACCTCTCCACTGGTGATCCTCATCCACATGCTGGCACTTTGTGTCACCAGGTGTTTATCACTTGTGTGATGTCCTGTGGGCTACAACTTACATACATACATACACAGAATCTGTCCATCTGATTCTGCATTCTTGATTGTACACTCAAAGCTGTAAGTGACTGAGCTTTGTTTTCAAAGGGTCATTTATTATACATGGCTCTATAAACTCAGTGCAAGAAGTCAGTCTCTTGATCAGACCATTGTCTTCTTCATCTTCTTTATCTTCTTCTTATGCATTTAACTTTAAAAGGCAGTTAGAATGTTGTTTTGTGGTTTGCAGCTAGGCTGTGTTTTCTATGCCTTTTGACTCAACTTTTGCAGTTCCAGCAAACCTTTAATTAGTCCTCTGATGTAACATGCTTTTTACAAGGGCAGAGAATCTGTTTTGTCTCCCAACATGAGGCACTGGAACCCTCACGGAGAAGTTGCTGGTCTCATTTTTGTACTTGTGTTCACTGATTTCAGAATTGACTTCATAGCCTACTGGGCATAGTCATAGATGCTATGTCTGTCACAGCTAAGGTCTTTAGTTGTAGATGCTGACTGTTCCCATTCAATGCATCTTGTACTCTTGCTTTCATAGTCATTTTTTATTGGATCTACACTTAATTCCAAATTCACACCACCTTCCTTAGATGTGTTGTTTCATCTGAAATTGTATCTTTCATTAGCATTTATTTAAATGTGTTCTTTAGAATGTCTGCCTTATCCCTATAAGTATTCCTATTGCTGTCACTAGCCCAAAATATCCGCTCATTCATTTCTTCACACTCCTGCATGTCCCAAACAGTATATCTGCATAGATCTGTGTAGAAAGTAATTGTGTGTGTGTGTGTTTTAATTTCTTCAAGTTATGTCTGTGAAGTTATTGTTCCATTATGTACCTTGCATTCACAGCGTACATTCTACTGTGCTGCAACTTCCCCCCCCCCCCCCCCCCCCCCCCCCCCCCCCCCCCCCCCCCCAGTTTTTTAAGTTTAAATTAAATAATAATAAAGCATTGACAAAATACGTGAAATCTTTCTCATATTTCTGTAATTATTATTTTTCTTTTTCTTCATGTTCACTTGCTGTAAACTCCGGCAGAAAGTTCTTGTAGTTTGTCCACCTCTAGACTTTAGTCTTGTTCCAGAACCGGAGTGTTGCATGCAAATCAGTTTAACAGATCTGACTTAATTGTATGCAGACTGTTGGCTCCTTGCCTCTCAGGCAGATGCATTTACTATTCAAGGCATCATTTGTTAATTACTCTATCAGTCCAAGGTATCCACAGCATTCTTTTAAGAATCCACATTGCCTCCAAGCTTGTCCTGGTTTAATCGTTCCCATTCAAGAGACATTTCCTTATATCAGACAAAGCAATTCAGTTCACTCTCCCTGACATTCAGTAAAATCAAAAAATGATTTGTTGAATAAATGTGTTTTTTTAACTGCCAGTATATCAACTGTTATGAAAATACAACATTATAAAAGTGTTTTTCTTTTGGGGCTTCCAGAACCCCAGTTTTTAAGGAAAAAAGAAATAGACAAACTTCCCCCCAACAAGGATGATATAAAAGGCAAATAATTAAGGGTTTGCTGAAATCAAATGTATTAGACTGAAAGATGCAGATATTACTACACAACATATCAACCACCCTCCTGAAGGCAACACAGGAAAAGAAGAAGAAGAAATGCTTAATGAATTGGTTGTATTATGTATATCAGCTAAAAAGGGTGAGAATTGCAATCTGTATTTCATAATATAGAACAGAAAGAATTTTTTTTTTTGAACTGTGCATGACTTAAAACATTGCTGGTATTCTTCAGTTCTGTCTTAGAAGGATGTTAGTAAATTTAACTTTTATACATTTAAATAAATACTGTTTTATTATCTTGGTAATTTCAGTGCAAAAGCTTTACCATTTATTTATCGTGGTCAGTACCTTCATGACAGTGGGCCTCGTCAGGGGTTACCCTACAGCCTGTCAGATATTTATGTGGTAAGTAATGCCAGATTTGCTCAGCAACATATATATTTTTAGTAAAACTGGCAAATAACACTCATTCAGTCTTTTGCCTGTCATAACAACAGTATTCCTGGCAATGCCTGAGACTAACACCTGTGCACTGCACTTTGGAAAAAAAAAAATTCACAATATAATAAATACTGCTTCTCTTTCTGCAGCTTGTTATATTGTCAAAAGTTACATACAGTTGTGTGTTTCTCTGCATTTACCAGCAGTAAATTCCAGTAGACAGCTCTGGTTTTGCATCCATTTATGGACTGGTTTATTTTCAGGGCTTGAGTTGTGTATGCGCATCAGTTTTACAGATCTAGCTTACTTGTGTGCAGTCTGTTGGTTCCTTGCTTGTCGAGCAGATGCATTTTGACTTTGAAAGAAATGTCAGGCTTATCTCTAGGATGACTGTGGCCAATATGAACTTTACTTTATCATCACATAGGATGAGACCATTTTATAGGACTCTTGATCAAGCGACAATTAAATCAGTAAAACAAAGCAATGTTTCTGTGTTGTAAATTTGAACAAAGAAGACACAAACAATAGACTGCACAATTGATTGGCAAAATTGTATAGTCTATTGTTTGTGTCTTCTTTGTTCAAATTTAAACCAGTGTTTGTCATTTAATGCAAGGCCTGGCCAATGCACTTTACTCATTATCTGAATGAGTTTTGATAGATATTATTACCCATGCATCGGGGCTGGGCTGGGTGCCAGAAGTTTTCTGAACACTGCATCTCCAGGGGCCACAAGCTTCAGGATCCTCTGCCATCTCTGTTTAGGCAACATGGGCGTCACACAGGGCTCACAGCAAAGGGTCTGTCTGTACAGAGAATGCTGGCACTCAAGGTGAGGAATGGGGTCTCCCATTGTACACCGCCCAGTTGCCTTAACTTTGCCTGTGATCAAAGTCACCGTCCCACAAAAAGTGCATCCAAATATATATCTTTTTTATATTCTAGGGAGCAAACTTGAAGATTCCTACAAAAGGCCAGCTAGCTCTGACGGATTCATTGGCAGGAAATAGTTACATCACACTACGAATCACAGATGTTGATGAAAGTGAGAAAAACGCTGTGCTGTAAGTGTTTAAGATGTGATAGGATTATCTAATTAATTTAAATAATGGTTCGATCCTTCAGGCAAATGGCGGGTACTGGAGGCTGAACTGACCACCAGATACAAGTCCCAGCTATTTAGAGGTTTCAGGTTTACAGACAATAATCCTTGTTGCAGATAGGTACTTCTTTGAGTTCTTCAGTCTTCTTCTTCTTCTGCACTCATCTGAAGATAAAAATGTATTTTGCCCATTTACAGCATGGCTGTGATATTTGCACCATTCAGCTGACACATCTGACTTCTGCAGGCATTTTGTTTTTGCATGGTTTAGCCTTCCTGGGTACTTCAGTCTAACCTCATTGATCTTACAAGAAGTGTCTGAGAGCAGTATAAAACCTCTTGCACTATTGAAGATGTAGATGTATGCCTACTAGAATGCATGCATCGCCATCAACATG